ACCCCCCAAAACCCAACCCCCCCCCCCCCCCCCGCCAACAAACAAACAAACAAAAAAGAAAACCAACCAACCAGAAACAAAAGGGTGGAGAGAGTAGGGTAGAACTTTACCTGTTCATCTTGCTGTTTGTTCCCAGCAATAGCAGTGCAATTTTTTCACTGTTTCTGCACCCACAGAGCACTTTGGCAAGACAGCAGCTTGAATGTCATGCCAAGGAACATTTGGTCAAAAGCAGGATTAAAGTATGTGCCCTTAAGCCTCAATAAGATCTTCAGATACCCTTACCTTTCCATGCATGAACAGATGTTTTTGCAGTCTTACCTAGTGCTGAAAACTGCTCTATTTTGTGTCTGCTGTGTCAGTGCGATTCCTGTGCTCTTGTGAATATGTCTATATTTGAGTTGCAGTTTTGGAGTAGCCCTGGAATGACATGTTATTCTTCCTCTGCCCCCTGTCCTTTCCCAGTCAGGTTTTTGACTCGTTTACAAACTACTACATACTTTTTTTGACTAGGGAGGGATGGTATGAGTTGTTGAAAAGGCCCTTTTTGAGTTGTGACTGGCTCTGCCAGAAAAAACTGCCTTAATTAAAACGGATGTCAGAGTAGAGCTAGATCATTGTGTGGTGTTGAGAAATATTGGTGGTAAATGATCACCATACTGGGACTTGGGTCACACAAATTATGTGCTGTCAGGTAAAGTATTGTGTATGTTTGGACACTCTGTACTGAAGAGGCTTCTATACTGAAAGTTGTCTGATTGTTTTTCTTTATATTTTGTATTTATAGATGCTTAAATATTTGTGTATATACACCCCCCTCAACTGTGTGTGTTCCTGTTGCCTTGCTCTATTCTGTCATTCTGTTTGCTCGTCAGTCACTGAGCCCCTGAATGCCGAGATAACCTGCTTCCTTGTGTTATCAAAGTCTCCTTAGGAATTTTGGCCATTAATGATGCAGTAGACCATGGTGATGTTAGCCAGACCCTGGTTGTCTTGCGTTCACCGGATGTTGGGCTATACGGAGTCACTCCAGAATGTGCTGAGACGTACCAGCGAGAGCTGTCAGAAGTCAAGAGAAGAAAAATGGCAGCAGGTGAACCTCAAGTAGCTAACTATTATTGAAATAAATTCAAGATTATTGCATGTGGAATCAGAACCAGAGGTAAAAAAGCCCGTGGGGAGATGACTTGTGTTACAGGTGACAATTGTGGATGCTTTGTGAACTAAGGTTGGTGTTTTTTGTTTTTTTTTTTAAAGTGAATAGTAGAATGTTCTGCACTGAGAGAATGTGTTGTTTAGGTAGTTCTCGTATGAGGTCATTAGGGACTCAGAAACATTCCTTCTCTTGCTTGGAGGAAGGAGCATCTGTATATGTGGATTTCCTGGTTGTAACATTTTCATGCAGGAAAGGTAAAACACTTGTCTGTTTTTGAGACTTACACTGCAGTTTCTGCTCTTAGGGGGCAACGGCAGTGAATGGGTGAAACACTGGGTGAGAGGAGGCTATCATTATTATCATAACCTGCGGACCAAAGAGGGAGGATGGGATGAACCAGAAGAATTTATGCAAAATGACACACAGCTGTCACGCGAGGAGATACAGGTAGGGTAGATAACACCTGCTCTTTTTCTGAAAAGTTGACAGTCCTACTATTCCCATCCTTAATGCATCTCTAAGAATGCCTCAATGCCATAGTCACGTTGACAAGCTTAGTAACTAATTTATTTCGCTGGATATCATCAGATTGTATGTATCAAAACTCCTTGTCCCATTTCAGAAAAATTTGGTCTGTTGGTAAAAGGGTACAGGACCATGGTATTGCTGTTTATTGAAAGGCAACTTAGGAGTTTCTTATAAGCACAATACAGAAAGCTGATGTAACATCCTGTTTCTTGTATATCCATTCTCCTTTTCTGGCTCTTCTTCCTACCACAACATTAATCCAGAGCACCATATCTGGAGTCACTGCGGCATACAACCGAGAGCAGTTGTGGCTGGCAAATGAGAACTTGATTACGAAACTTCAGGCTTGCTGTCGAGGATATCTTGTTCGCCAGGAATTCAACTCAAGAATGAATTTTTTGAAGAAGCAAGTCCCAGCAATCACTTGCATTCAGGTAATGATATCCTGCAATTACATTTGAAACTTGTACCCTGCAACCGTTTTCTGTACGCAAGCTTATCGACAGTTCTTGTTCAATTCAAGCAATTACAGCACACAATTGTCTTCACCTTGTTTTGCAAATTATCTAAAGGCATTTCCTTCTCCCAAATAGTTCTGGTGTATTATTTGCTTTTCTATGTCATATATAATCAATAAAGTCTTCTCAGTCAGAATTGCAGAGAGAAGAACTTACTTGAGGAAGCTTTACCTATCATTTTTTTTATCCGATTCAGTGTTTTGGGAATAGGGCATTGTGAAGTGTGTCATACGTCTTTATGGTGGTATTATAATGTGATGAATTACGACTGTGATTCCTCATGAATTAAAGAGAAACAACAAGGTTTTCAGTATTTCTGAGTGAGATGATGATTCTTGTCAGATTTGTCCAGGTATTTAGAGCATTGAGGACCTGAAAGAGATGATGGGATAATTCAGCATGAGATTGGGCACGTTTACAGGAGAACAACGAAAAAATCTTTCTCTGGTGTTGTAACTGAAATGTGTGCAAATGAAATGGATGCTTTGCACCCTATTACCACTTTATTATTTGAGCAGTATATGTGTGGTTTTTTTCTGCCTAATTAGCATGTGCTGTGTGTGTATATTTAAAAAAAACCAAAAAACCCTCCCAAAACCCCAACAAAACCACACCAAAAGCACTCCCAGCTCATTAAAATAACACTCTCTCCCTTTAAGTGTAGTCCAACCCCTTGCCTAACTTCTGTTCCAAGTATCGGTAGCATAGAGTGTGCTCTGAAGGCTTATAATGTTATATCACTGTTGTTGCCAGCAGCAGCATCTAACACATGATTGTCATGTAGAAGAGTTTGTCAGCTTGACTGTTTAGCCATATCCTTGGTCTCTGACGGTGGTTCAGAAGGCTCAGTCTCTTCATGGGGTAATTTCAAGTCTCTCATAATTACAGTTGGTGAAATAGCTAATGCTTCACACTGTATATCCCTTGATAAGATAAGCATGTCTCCCTCACTTTTTACTTAGCCAAAAGGCAAGTTGGAAGCTGAGGAGCAGAAAGAAGCTCAGATTTGTAATTACTGCTCTTTAATTAGAAAACGAAAGTCAGTATGCTTGTTTTCTGTTTTCAGTCGCAGTGGCGTGGCTACAAGCAGAGGAAGGCATATCAAATCCGTTTGGATTACCTGCGAGCACAAAAGGACCAAGTAGTGAAGGTAGTGAAGGCTCCCCGCTGACTTTTTTAGTAAACCTTTTGTGTAATGAACTTTGCAGGAGAGGTTTTTATCTGAGCATTTTGGTTACCCTTCTATAGATTCAGTCAATGACCAGGATGTATCAAGCCAGAAGACGTTACAGAGATCGTCTGCAGTATTTCAGAAACCATGTAAGAGGCTATCTTGTTAAATGAATTCAGTACCTCACTTTCGTACTCTTTCCAGAATGAAGTCAAGTGCTTTTTTTTTTTTTTTGTATTCTAGATAAATGATGTTATAAAAATTCAAGCCTTTATCCGAGCAAACAAAGCGCGGGAAGACTACAAAACCCTCAGTAAGTGTCGCCAAGAGGATAAAGCTGATGTGCCTTGTATCTCTTATTTGCAAGAGATGTTGCTAGTGTGATCTATAACATCAGGACACTTTTGAAGAGCAATTGGGATGATGTTCGTAGGGCAGTGTGGAGAGTAGGTAGTTCTTGAGGCTGAAGGAAAACTTGATTCCAGTTGTTGCTTTAGCTACTGAAAAATAGAACCGTAGCTTTGCAGTTAACTTTGGTGGTGTGGACTACCCTGGGCTGATACTGACTTTGTTCTTTACTGTTTGCTTCTCTCATGATTTGCTCAAGAAATTAAAAATGTCAGAAGCTGTTTAGATATGGTGATGCTAATTTTTTTCTGGCTGTTCCTTGATGTGCTGTTTAAACATAGATAAGGCATATATTTACTTCTGTTTCCTGTCCCCTGTTTTTTCTTGTCTATTTTAAGTTAATGCTGAAAACCCACCTATGGCTGTGGTTCGGAAATTCGTCCACTTGCTCGATCAGAGTGACCAAGATTTTCAGGAGGAGCTTGAGCTAATGAAACTGCGTGAGGAAGTTGTAACCTTGATCCGATCCAATCAACAACTGGAAAATGACCTCAATCTCATGGACATCAAAATTGGACTGCTAGTGAAGAACAAAATTACACTGCAGGTAAGAAATGATGGGAGACCAACTAAGATTGACCTGGGCCCAGTGGTAGCATGGAGAGCTCCTGGCTTTGGATGACAGGTGCTCAGGCCCAGAAGAAAATGTTGTCCCAGACCTGCAGACTTTACTCCAGGTATGTTCTTACTCCATTCCACTAATGTAATATGTATCCCTAGAAAGAAAACTAGGAGGAGAAGAAACAAGACCTGAAGCTAAAAAAGCCAAACACCTGGCTATCTTGACCTAATAAATGCAACAGATTGTGTGTTTGAAGGCTTTGAGAACTCTCTTTTGTTGCTCCTTTGCGTTTAAACAAATGACATGATGCAAGCTTGCAGTGAGGGAGGTGATTTTGGAGGCAGACTCAGTGCCACGTGGTATTTGTTGGTTAAAGGAGGCCCCTGTATCACATGGCTGATTCACAAAAAAAAGCTCTTGCTGGTACGGCGTTGCCTTTTCTTCAAGCTGAAGTTCTGGTCAGCTTTTTATTTGGTCCTGGATGCCATGACACTAGCCTCCTCCCAGTGTAACATCTCAGCTGTTGTAGTGAAATTAATCTCGGAAGAAAGCTGCAGCTTTTGGGCTGGTACCTGCAGTGGGAGGTGCTGTTACTGTTGGAGTATGTAGAGGTAGTGAGCTAGCTGAGTATGAAACAGGATATTTAGGTTTTAAGCCCAATTTAAAAAGGAGAACATCTTCAAGCATCTTCAGGATGCTACCAGCTCTGATAGTAATTGCTGCCAAGAGTGACCAACCCTTCTCTGATTTTAGACAATTTCAGCAAGTTAGGGACAAAGCAAAACATGGACTTCCAGTCAGAGAAATTGTTGCCATAGCAAATAATGCTTCACTTCAATAGCCCCGGGCATACCTTGCCTGTCCACGTACAAGAGAAGTGGTCTCTCAGATGCAACTGTTTTCCAGTGTTGCCTGTTGTAAAATACTTAGAGTGGAATCTGTCCCTATTCTTTCTTTCCAGGATGTTGTTTCTCATAGCAAAAAACTTACCAAGAAGAATAAGGAGCAGCTGTCTGACATGATGATGCTGAACAAACAAAGGGGAGGTTTGAAAGCTTTGAGCAAAGAGAAGAGAGAAAAACTGGAAGCCTATCAGCATCTGTTCTACCTACTTCAGGTAAGCAGCTTCTAATGCTGCTTGGTAACGTCTTGTCATAGAAGCTTGTATGTCTTGACACAGTCTTTGCTTATGCACTGTAGCTTTAGTGCCACCATAGTTCTTGGTGACACTAGCTTGTGTGGACATGCACACTATGTGATTTTTCTTGTTGTTGTAGACTAACCCAACCTACTTGGCCAAGCTGATTTTTCAGATGCCTCAGAACAAATCCACAAAGTTCATGGATTCTGTCATCTTCACGCTGTATAACTATGCATCCAATCAAAGAGAGGAATACCTGTTGTTGCGGCTTTTCCAAACAGCATTGCAGGAAGAGATCAAGTACGTGGTAGCATACGGCACATTCTTGATGTTGAATCAATTTTGGCAATTTCTCAAATTGAGGCGGTTTTCACATTATGTCTCGTGCTAATATGCAGATAATGCTAAACTGTCCCTTTGTCCTCTTCCAATTTCATGTGTGTTCTTAATGTAGTCTATAACAGAAGAATAGAGTTTGTCCATTGAGAATGAAGACTCTTTACTTCAGTCAAGATTTTGGTGCTCAACACAGCAGCTGCTTTTAATGTAATGCAAAGTCATCCTAAAATTCAGTCTAATCTCAATTCTTCAGTGTCTGGTAATAAACACCTCCACGAAAGTGCAAACCCAAGCTTTGCAAGCCAGGGGGAGAGCTAGCGCTAAGTGCTCTGTATTTCCAAAAGCTGATGAGGAGGCTGAAGGAGAGAGGCTTTATTGTTTGGCATTGCTATTTACTGTCAGTCTTAGGGACTCTGGCTGTCCTCAGGCATGTTTTGTTTGATCAGTTGGGCCTTAGGAGCTCTGTGTTACATGACCTCAGTTCTTTCCAGTGCAGAGCTGGACAACTTGCTGTGAAGCAGGATGTGCAATAAAGATTTCGAGGAACTACTTCTTAGGCATTCTTTGGAATGCTTTTTAAGCATAAAGATGGTATATGCCCTGAAACAAATAACAACATCTAAACCAGACTTTTTTCCCTTAAATTCATGCTTGGAATAGCACTGCAGGGAAAGGTAGATGATTCATTCTCCGCTGCTGTATTTCACATAGCAGTATACTAGGAGTGGCTTTTGTTGTTGATTGCTTGTTTCCTTATTTTAAGTACCAGAAGAAACCTACTGTTCTTTCTCTCCTCTGTGTAAAACATGCTCTGTTTCCTTTGTATTTTTGGATTGTTACAGTTGGATTTGCATTAATTGTCATTGAGGTGACTGCTGGCAGTTGGAATTCCCAAACAGAGGTCATGAGTTGCTTGCCTCATCTGTCTTGAGAAGTGTTCCAGTATTGTTCTTATACGCTGTTGTACTTTATTGCTGTATCAATATTTTTCACAGAATCATTAAGGTTGGAAAGGACCTTTAAGATCATCAAGTCCAACCATTAACCCAACACCACCATGCCCACTAAACCACGTCCTAAAGTGCCATGTCCCCAGCTTTTTTGAACACCTCCAGTGATGGCGACTCCACCACCATCCTGGGCAGCCTGTTCCACTGCTTGACCACTCTCTCCATAAAGAAATTGTTCCTAATAGCCGATCTAAACCTCTCCTGGCACAACTTGAGGCC